CATCAAGACTAAACGAATTTGGCTATGGAAAAATGTAAAGGATGCATTAAATAATATAAATAATATTCATCAATAATATATATCAGCATATATAAATATTTATTTAGCATATTAAATAATTACTAATTAATATATTACTTACCTAATAAAATAAGTAATTATTTTTATTAGATATTTATTTAATAAAATATAAAATGTACATTTTATTTACTGAGAATAAATAAAATATTTATTTGCAAAGCATATACTTTTGGTCTTGTGTCAGAGATCCATCTCCTCTGACAGATGCTTACCTTGGGTGCAAAGCGATTCACTTTCACTGTAACAACAATGGAAAACTCTTTGGGGAAAAGGTCACAGTTCACCAAGAGCTGGGAAGCGGCGAAGCTCAGAGACGCATCGGGGCTGAGAAACTGGACGCCCCTCGCCCCAGCCGCCTGCTTCACGCGCGCCCCGGGGACCACCCTGGAGGTGTCCCTCTCCAGAACAAAAGACAGGAGATCCAAGGGGAGCAACTCTGAGGACAGCAGACAGATAGAGAGGCCAGGACGGCGGTCATAGTATGAATGGCTGGAGATTCTGCAGAAATGAAGCTCAGAAATAGATTGAGAATCCTCACACTTCTTAATTTGAGTCTAAGGTAAAAACCAATCAGAGACGCAAAATTTACTGGGTAAATTGTTTCTCCAACTTCTATCCAATGACGGCGCGTCTTTCCTCCTGCACTGAGCTTCAATCATCTTCTCATTAATTATATCAACAGAAACTGTCCACTTTGGACTCACATCTTTTCTGGAGTCAAATAATAATAATAATAATTATTATTATTACTATTATTATTATTATTATTATTACATTTTTTTGGTAGATAAATATGCTCTACTTTTTCATTTTAGAATACTCTGACGTGAAATCTGAACTGGATTATTCTACAGTAAATCAAACTGTGTGATTTTTGATCATTTAAATTTTGTAAAGTAAATAAATAAATAAACATGTAAAAATACATTGAGAATATAGTTGTATTCTTTTACGTGTCTGGTTAAAGCCCATTCTTTGTGAGTACACAGCCCCTTCCAGAGCCTCCGAAAAAGTGGCAAAAATAGTTCAACTAATTATGAACTACTTTACACGGAGTCTATTAAATAAAATCCTAATAAAATACATACATTGTTACTTGTCAAAATGCAAAAGGCAGCATTAACACCTTTGCAAGATCCTGGATTGAAAAGGAAAAACAATCAAGATGACTGGAAAGTAATAGATACATTATTTTTTACAAGGGTTGTTACTATAACAAGATACTTCACTCAAAAGCTGGACTGGTAGAGGAGAAACACTGAAAGATTGATGAGATGTCAGTTGAATGTTTATCCTGTAAACCCTAATATCCTGATGTGTATTGAAATGCAACTGAACCCTAACCCCATGCAATGCCTGTACTTGTTTGTGGATGTTCACACTAACACACACACACACACACACACACACGCAAGCACTCCCAGTAAGCAGACGCAGACAGTTGGAATTATCCAGAAGAATTTTAGCTGCAGGGCCTTCCCAGCTTTTGGATGGAGCCATAAACAATCCACTGGGTAATCATTAACAGGACCACTTGTGCTGAGCCGAGACGAGGTGATATCTCATAAAGTTTAGAATGAAACAGATAACAGCAGATAAAACACTCTCCTACCTGTGCACTGTCTCCATGCGTCTGTCGCCGTCTCCGTGACCCTGGAAGCCCAGAGGAGGAGCAGTATGAGTATCTGCATCAACATTATGAAAAGCGGTCCGCTTCAGTTCCCAACTAACAGGAGCGTCTCCATGGCCGGGGTAGTGTTCAGTCTGTTCCTCCTCCCTCGGTATTTAGCTCGAACGATGATCCATGAAAGGAAACCGGGCATCCTTCATCTTGATCCCGGGTAAGAAAGAATACGTTCAAACTTGGAGTCTTTCTGAGTATCTACTTGATCACACGTCGTACTTAAGCAGCATGAAAGGGTACCTGTGTGTGCTGAACCAAATCCACCCCTCTGTGAAGGGAATCCTGCACCTGCAGCTCCTTTTAAACACCGGAGCCATGCAAATCACTAACCGGCCTGTCACTCATCCTCCCTCGACCGCAAATTTGGTAACACACACCGCCAGAGGGCTGAGCTGCCTCACTTTATTTTGTGCATTTGTGCTTACAGCACACTGACACAGATCGGTAGGCAGGCAAACACAACTTCTGTGTGCAAGCAGATACAAAATGTCAGTCAAATGGGAAAAAAAAAGTTGTCTGTCTTTATTCTGCCTATCTTAGTTGTGCAGACCTCTTTACTCTCTGACCTCCTAAGTAAAATCCAGAGAAACAACCGGCTTCTGAGATAATATTTGTAAGAAGGAGCTCTTGTGAGATGAAGCAAAAACTAAGCTTTTCAACATTGATGAACTGCAGTTGCAATTTAGCTAACACTTCACGAATCACAGTGCGATCTGTATCCATCTGCATCCCGTTGAACAGTCATTCTTCCTGCGAGACAGGACAGGGCTGTGGGAGAAAGCCAGTTAAGGAACAGAAACAATCCCAGTACAACGCCCTAACTCATAAGTTTCCTTATTCCTGGTTTGACTCATCAATAGCAGCAACGATCTTATCGCTGTTCCAGTTCAGCTGAGTTAGACAGGCCCATTTATCAAACATCTGGGGTTCTAAATAGAGGTTACAAAGAACCTAATTTAACTGTGCTAAAACAATGTAATACTTATCACTTGGTTTAATCTTTTCCTTAAAGTCTCCCAGGCTTTGTGAATTGTAATTTGCATGTTTTTTTGTTTTTCCTTTGGTATTCTGAGAACTGCATCATCATTAGATTTAATCAGTATATATGTTTTGCCTTGAATTTTTTTTTTTTTTTAATAATCATCATGTATGTAATGCGAAGCTTTGTTTGCCTGTAATTAGTTTTTCAGTATTGAAGTCTGAAAAGAACATAACATAATCGTTGCAACAGATAACAGTAGTCATAAATGAATAAAACTGACCTGCTGGATATTTTTCTAATCACAACGATATTTTTATATTTACTTGTAATAGCTGAATAGTCGTGACCAAGGCCTCAAAGTTTTGGAACTAAGTTTTAAACCAGCTGAAACTGTTCCTGACGGGTTTTGTTGGCATGCTTCAGTGCTGCCACCTCGTGGTCGTTGCTTCATAGTCTCCGTCTGCTTGTTTATGAATTATAGCCCTCTTAATGTCAGACGTGTTAATGCCAAATAGATTTTTTTTTTTTTTTTAGATTGTCACTTTGAAATTGCCAAAAGCATTGTGTAGTGAGTGACTGCACCTGTCCCCTTTTTTTATAACAACTTTAATTTTTTTTAGAAAGCAGAGATGTACAGGTGGTGTGAAATTATGTTTTTGACTGTAAAAAAAAAAATAATAATAAAGGCTTTAGAGACAAAAAAGGAAAACAAAAAGGACCCGTCACATGCAGTCTGAGCTGATGTGATTGTAATAAGATTGAAGGATTCCAGCTTTTGGGATATTATAGGAAAGATCAACACAAACCTGTGCTGATTGTGCGCGGTTGAAATTTTTACATCGTCGGTTCAAACAATTTGCAAAGTGTGGGGTGTGCAGAGATACATATTGTGTTTCCCCCGCTCATTGCAAAGCAAAGTCAGTCATACTGGGTGCGTTCTGCGAACATCACATTTCAAATCTTGACATATTTTCACTTCAATTTAGGTAAGTGCTTTAACTGGGCCGTTTTAACAGACGAATATGCCTCAATTCTAAATTACTCCATCTATGGCTCTACGTTGATGTTTACTGTCCTGCTGGAGGATGAACCTGCCTCCTAATCTCAAGTTTTCATCCAGCACATATCACTGCATTCATTTACCATCCACATCAACTTGGGCCAGCTTTCCTCCAAGGAAAAGCATTGAAACTGAATGATACCGCCACTACCGTACTTCACTGAGGTTATCTCATCTAATTAGACCACCTTATTTAAATTGTTTTGTCCACAGCATGGATTGTGGCAGACTGTGAATAGGACCCTCATTCAATTTACATAAAGGAGGCTTTTAAAGGGAATTGAGACACTGGATTTTATTTGGAGGTATTCAGGTAAAGGGGGCTAAATGTGAAAATCCACTTTTTTTTTTATTTGTAAAATCCCAATTGAGAGTTTTGTAGTGGTCATAATGCATCTAAAGTTCAAACAAACTGAACCACTGAATTATATATAAAAAAAACTAAATAATGAAGCAGGAGACCACATATCTGAGTACCAAACTATATTTATTGTATACAGTAGTAAAAGACCACAAATAATGTACAAACAAGTAGAGAAAAACAAACAAGACGAGACCTGGACCCCATTCTTCATACATAACAGTGTAGCTCAGCCAGCCGCCACAAAAGACTTCTGTCCAGATAAACCCAGTTGTTAAAATGCAAAGAATGTGGAAGGCTGATTCGTAGGTACTGATAAAATGTGCTCTTATATTTGTGATGAAAGCTAAATTCACAATCATTACCAGTAAATGATTTGTGCCGAGATGCGTCGCACAAAGACTAGACTCCTCTTCCAACACGCCATCCAATGGGGAGAAACGGCTGTTCGGGAGTCATTTGTGAACTTAAACAGTAAAATGAAGAGTTCTGATAGCAGATGGCAAGTATATATATATATATATGTATTCGCTTAAAAAAAAAGAAAAAAAAAAAAGGATACCGCCACTTACTCGGCTGATAAAAAGGATGCATACAAAAATACAGCTGAATAAGATGGATGTGAACAGTTTAATATAAAAGGGAAATGGCTTTCTGGCAGGTTAGAGGAAGAAGGGAAGGAGATTTGCGGTCATTTGTTTGGCCGTCTTGTTCAAAATGAAACCGGACCTGCTCAGGTACAAAAAAAGAAAACTAACCCGTTTTCTGAGCGTTAAACCTCAAAAAGCATCCGTGAGACTCCACATGACTCCAAACGGGTTTTGCTTTTTCACAGATTTCCAGCTCATTTAAAAAGCATTTTGCTCATTTCACTCCAGACTGAAAGATCCAAGTTTGCGACGGTAAAAGGATCAAAAGTAAGCAACTCTGTGACCCTGGGACTGACCTTCCTGCTCTACGAACATGAAGAGACGCACCAACGTCACGTCTCCGAAACGCCAGACTCATCTGAGAGATCTTCTCCAACAACGGCAGCATTTTGTTTTTAACACAGCATCTCAGCAGGTGACGCATCGTAGAAAAGTGATGTGCTTACAACAATCTGCTTTGGCTGGATGTCCTAAGCTCAAAGTGGAAGCCGCTCGATGGCGAAAACGGCACTCGAGTCGGAAACAGTTCGCCCGCAGCCGAACTCCCAATCGGAGCCGCTTTTATCGCAGGGACAGATGGCTGTCCGTTTAATAGCCGAAAAATATAAAATAAAGAGGAAAAAGATGCATTTGTTACCAAGACACAGCCAAAAACTAAGCCTACTTCGATGGCATAGACTTATTTTTAACTCCCTGATCGAGCATTTCGCCTGAGCAAATGGCAATCTGTACAACAGATTGTTCTCTATTAGAAGCCAGGGAGCAAAACACTAACGATCTAATGACACCGTTTTAACCTTGCAATTAGAGAAACATACATTTAAAGAGAAGCAGATGTTCTTGTCTTTGGAGTATTGTTCTTAACCTCACAACTAATCTAACACCCATTTGGATATTTCTATACAGGAAGGAAAAAAAAAAATAAAACTATAATTTTAAACGGAAGGCAAAAAAAAAAAAAGTACAAAAACAATGCAGAAGCACCTAAAATGTAAATATACCTAAATACATCTGCTCAACAAAAACAAAATGAAACAAAAGTGAAATAGCAAGCAGGTGGGTGTTCAGTTCAGACGGTGCTTCCCCTTCAAAATCGCGCCCCACTGACTGCGACCCCTGGACAAAAAAAAAACAAACAAAAAAAACACCTGCAGAGCCCCACACTCTGACGCGCTGGAAGCAGAGCCGAAACAGCAGTTTCTGTGGAGAGCCGTTGGTCCGATTACAATCTGCAGCGCCGGACGAGGTGGTCCTGACCGGCCAGCCGCAAAGACTGAAAACACTCGACTTCAGTCCTGACTAAAAGAGTAAAATAAACAGCTGACGAGCACCGACACATCAGGCAAAGAATGTCTTTCAAAAGAGAATAATAATAATAATAATAATAACAATAATTATAAGCTGGCAGGAGCAAACTGGGAGGGAGAGACAGTGAAGGTGGTTTAGGGCATGGTTTGAACATGGCCGTCAGTGAGGTGGGTGGTCGGGCTTAGCAGCACCCGCCAGTCTGCTGCTGGAAAACATCTATGGTGTCTTCATCTTCCATCTCCAGCTGGAAAGAGGACATAAAAATAGATGGATATCGAAAAGGATTGAGCAGTTCGAATGCATTTAAAACAGAACAAAAAAATAAACAAAAAAAATACAAATATGTGAAATGTTTTGTTTTGCACGCTTCATCGTGTAGAAAAGGGTAACCATACCTGTGCGGGTGTATCCGTCTCATTGATTGGCTGGCCATCGAACCTGAATCTGATCTGCCTTATTGAAAGACCCTGTCGATGAAGACGGGCAACGGGTAAACAACAACCAGAAAACTGAAGCGGGCGCAAACAGGAATGCGATTTCTATGCTGTTTCGATTTTGTCAAGTCTCAACCACAAACTTCAAAGTATTGCGATAGGATTTGAAAAGTTCAGAGCACTTGTATGCATCGTCCAACCAGCCTCCTGTCCCTGCTAAAGAAAGGCATCCGAACAGCGTGATGCTGCCACCATCATGGTTAATGTGTAGTCGGTGAGTTCAGGGTTATACAGTGTTGGTTTTCTGTTACACGAACAGTTTTCCACTTGGACAAAATGCAGGTTACTTCCTTCTCCACACTTCTTATGGCTTTCCTTCAGCCACTCCAATGACACTACCTGTGTTTTCCTTTCTGAAGGCAACTGCTTGTGCTGGGTTTTATTTAGACACAAGTTTGTTGATGGCACAAAAAAAAATGGGCAAAATTTCAAGTCGTATGAACACTTGCAAAGTACTGTATTGCGCAAGCGGTTGTAATATCCCTAATGACAGCCAACTAGTCTTGCAACTCACCTGTCGTTCGCAGTACGCCTTCATTAGTTTGCTGAGAGGCGTGTGTCGTTTGATTTTGAACTGGACGACTGATCCATCCTGACCTGCAACTTTGAGGTTGATGTGGTCGTTCTCCGTCTTTACTCCTTCCTGCAGAGCAAAAGTCAGGAGGAAAAAAAAAAAGTCAGAACAGAGTCAGTTGAAGTAACGGACTTTAATCTCGTGTTTTTAACAAACAGTGGAAATCCATGGCTTGTGGAGAAGTGGCATTCAGTAGGTGGCTAAAGCAGCGTTGTAGCTAAATGTGTGGCAAAAACCAAGACTTCGCATTAATTTTAAGCAATTTATTTATATAGGAGCTGATCATTTCTAGCTTTATTAGCAATTTGATACAGTAGATGATTTTAAAAAGTTCGTATGCATATCTTAAAACAGACTGTCTCTCTAATGTATTTATTTGTAATTTAGGGAAACAACAAAGTAACAATATATGTATTTGCTAACAAAAAATATGAAAAATTAAAAAAATAATAATAATAAGTAGGATATAAGTAAAGCCGGCCACCCCAGATGATAAATCAGGCCAGACTTCATTTTCAGATGCTAACGTTAGCATAATTAGCTCCAGGCTAGGTTAGCACACCGGCGGTCCTTCGGGATCAATTGGAAGTTTAGCTGCAGGGCTAATGTGGCTAACTGCTTTGTTTTGTTGTTTCCTAGACGAACTGGAACAGTCTTAAAACTAAATTAGCACAAACGCGCCACCGCAACAACAGTTTTTAAACGGGTGCGTCATAACCATTTGCGCTCTTTTGCCGCTAACTACAGCTGCGGCATTTTGCAGCTTTGCGGAGATAACGTGTGACCCTCTCGACAAAAGAGGTGGTTGTGAGAAGGGGGGGACCACAAGATACAAACATACACTGTGATCAAATTTATAACAAATAATTTATACATAAATTAAGGACAACATTAGGAGCAAGGTAATTTTGATTTATTTCCATTTCAATCGTGCAGCCTTGCTCATTGAGTATACGTATAGATGTGCGGGTTCTCATTCATTTTGCGAAACCAACACTGCGCCAATTTGGAGAAACGTGCAAACCCAGGCCTGTAGACTGCACATTTCCTAGACGATTTTGCAGCAGCCCGACCCAGAAGTCACCACAGAAGAGCCGCCGTGTGAGCCGCTATATCTTACCTTTGGCTTTTCCTCTGACATCTCGGTTCGTTTTGTGTTCGGGGGTTCAGAACAGACCGATACCGGGCTTTAGCCGTCTTCCTGCTGCCTTCTGTCCAATGTTCTCCTCGCAGACGCGTACGCGCGCTGGACCGCTGTGACGAATAAACGATTGGTCGGGGAAAGCCACGTGGTTTGCCATTCTACGGAGCGCGGACACGGGGACGCGCACGCATGCAGAATCCTCGCTCATGCGCACTGTAGAAACAGAGCATCAAAATGAATGCATGAGCTTTCATTGTGAAATCACTTGAACATGTCTGTATTTTCTTTATGTGAATACCTGAACATAAATGTCATATAAATAAATGTTTAACTGGAATTAGCGCCTCACATGCATGCCTACAGGGCTGGATTTAGCATGATGTGAGCCTGGGCCAGAGGCCCTCTCAATGTCCTTTTATGCAAATTTAAAAAAATAAATAAATTATATACCTTAATTTAAAAAAACAAACACCTGTTTAGAGTTACCTTCGATTAGCATTGAACAACATATTTCATGTATATTTTCTTTAGTGTTAAGCTGGTTACGGTGCCATCCTAGGGTGGGGACGCTGATAAACTACTGCGGCAACATTAGAGTCTGATGTTCTAATTATACATGCTAGTAGTCTGATGATCAAACCAATAGCTATTAGTCTGATGTGCTAATAGCATTTCATAATAGCATTTATGATTAGAACATAATTGTGGTACTTTTCCAAGCTTTAGGCTCAGGTTTAACATAAATCCCATGATGCCACACAGTACATCTGAACCTGGACTTTCCACAGCTTGTTCTTACCTGAAGTGTTGAAAGGGACAAGATGGAGGTTGGGGAGGGAAGCTGTGGAATATGAAGTAGAAATCTATAATATAGAAATCTTTTAAGATTTCTATGTTATAGTTGAAAATTTGAAGTGCAATTCAAGGAAAACCTAGATTAAGTAATATTTTGAATCAGATTTCTTAAACAACTGAGCTAAATCTGTCGTTTTGCCCTGCTAACAGAAAAATGTATCAAGACCGATGGGTTTAAATAAAGAAACATGCAACACGGGGCAAGCAGAGGAGGTAGTCTAAGATCTTTTATTGGGAATATAGCTTCATGTGACACAAACAGCAGTAAAACAAGCCTGATTTAGACAAATGCTGACTATGATCAGTAATTATGAATATGTTTTGTAAAAATGTGTTAAAAAGCAATTCCAAGAGGAACAAGCAAACAATATAAGCACGGTGGCTTTCAGAAATATCAGGATAATCAGAAAACAAAAAGATGTCATCTCTAATATACTTTTAAAATCTGAAGCATCCATGAAACTGGAGTGACCACAGATTTTGTTTGGCAGAAGATGATTGATACTTTAACATCTAAAGTGACTTCCATTTTGCATATTTAAGCTAAAGGCTAATAAATAAGAGGAACCACAGTGAATAGGAACTCCTCTGGTTTGGAAGAAAAAAGAACCCATTGCATCCAGGTGTGTCCGTTTTACCATCAGTGAAAGCCTTCAAATGAATGGACTCATGAGTTTATCGACACCGAAGACCTGCCTGCAGAAAACATTTCCATTATTCTAGCTCCTGTTAAATATTGGGTCGTGCACATTTTTACAACCAGGGACCAAGCTACTGATCAACAGCTCAGTCCTTGTTTCCAAAAGCTCAAAACGTGGATCTCAGGAAAATCTTGCATATGGATTTGGCCCATTCAGTCCTACAAAAACAAAAAGAAAGCATTAACAACAGTGTTTGTTAAAAAATATAAAAATGTTGAAAATAATAAATTCTGTTAGGGAAATCGAAGGAAAGAATTGACAATAACTCTTTGAAGACTTTGAATCAATTGGTCACAACAATATTTAATTTCCCTTTGAGATCAATAAAGGATTTTTGAATGTGAACGGGTCAGATGTGTAAAATAAGGTCAATTTTACTCTTCAACTAAAATTGCACCATCTGATATAAATTGTTAACTCAATCCTTGATGGCAGAGTTGTTTGTAAGAATACCAATCTCTTTAAAAGTAATTAAAAAAAACCATCAGCATAATGAATTATCTTTAAATTTCTTCCTTTCCCACATTACAATCCATTAATTTATCAAATGAGTTTTCAGGAAGTATTCTATAAAAAAAAATAAAGGTTTCTGCTGTCCTACCATCTCAAACGTAAACGTCTGGAGTTTGTTAAACACTTGAGAGATTTGAACAGGAGACATGTTTTTTTGGTCAGACTCAAGTTGAGCTTTGCAACAAAGTTCCAGGTGGATTTGGCATGAAATAAATGAAAAACATATGGAAAACTACATCATGTTTAATGCTAGTAGGGTGGAGGATTTGAGATGCCGTGGGCCGGTTTCTGTTCCAGCAACCTCGCTCCAGTTTTGCGCTTTATACAAAATGTTTTAGCAGGACAACGACCCGAAAGACACTATCAAATTAAGACAGAGGTGTTTGTCAGAAAAGCTCACCGTATTTCTGCCTGATCTCCTGGTGTCTCTTGTTCATTTCTGCTCTCCTGTGAAGACAGAACGTTTCTCCGTGAGCCACACAGGAATTCATGTCATTCCTCAGCCTGTGCTCATGTGTCCAGAAGTCACATGAGCATAAAACCAGTTTGAGCTGATAACAATAGCGAAACCTGACACTGATAATGACTGGCCAACCAGCAGCATGCAGCTGGCGCTACAAATATTTCTTCCGTAATACAAAAATCATAAAAGAGAAAAACAAAAAACAGTAAACTAGGGCTCAAATGTTTTGCAGAATATACACATATCCCACATGTATATTTGAATAGCCACAGAAGTAGAATATATATTTGAAAAAAATATATTTAAAAGGCAATTTTTGCTCTGTACATTCATAATGACTTCATAGTGCAGTTAATACTTTCAGTTTTTATTATGGTAAAATTACTATTTTTTTGTGCTTAATTGGGGTTTTATGTCATAAACCAACACAAAGCAATGCATAAAAGCGAAGGTGAAGGATTAACAAATGAGTTTAACATTATTAATAACACCTTGGCATATGGCATACATTTGCAGTCATGCCACTTTACTATGATGTCTGTAACAAAACCCATTGAAATGACTAACATTGATTGCAAAATAGATTGTACTACTGTGAAAATTATTCAAACCAATACACAGTTTGTGGAGAATATTTGTACGTGTGTGTGCATATTCTTAATAATCCTGGTCACGACTTCTACAAAAGGCTTATGGGACTTTCACTAAGTTTTCCTTGAAGATGTTACAACACCTATCCAGGAATCTGTTGGGGACGAGAAGGTCGTTATTTTTTGAAAAGCTCCAAGAAGGACGAGCCTCCTCGTGCTTAAAAAAAAAAAAAAAAAAAAAAAAGCAGCCCCTAAATTCAAGGCGCAACAACTGGGGGCTT